ATACCACCTTTTGCATGTTGCATGACTTACAGCGTTCTCTCCATATGCAGCACAAATCATTTCAGTGGCTTCAGCAGCATTTTTCTTCAGATGAAACGCGAAGTGGATGGAAAATCGAATATGCTCTTTTGTAATTGCCATCGTGAACACTACTGATTTTTGAGGTTATGTGCATCAAACGCCAAACCGTATCGCATTTCAGGAGGTTAAATGTTACTGTTTTAAAACCCCAAAAGGGCGGGAAGATATATAAAATTTAAATTGTTATTTCGGTTGTATCAAATCTAAAGCTCAGAACTTTTTTGTACACCTAATACATAATTTTTTATTAGCATCAAGTGTTACTTAAATTATAGAATACTTAAATTATTTACTTTAAAGTCAGTATACGTTGTATTTGAACTTGGTTCACTCCCATAAGTGTTAAGCATATACATAAACCACCCAGCGTAAGAGACCACCAAGTATGTCTTACTGTTGGATCCAGATCGATGCTAACGAAAGTAAAATTGTAGTTAGTGTCTGCGAATACATAAGTCGCTTTAGAGCTCATGCAATTAATTTAAAAAAGTAAATGTAATACCTATCAAATTCGGTCCGTTGCCCTTGCCGTGCAATTTCCCAAATCTCATCTAATCCCCCGGCATCATTTGCGGCTGTGCCAATAATTAACAGCACGGTGGCAAACATAAGCAAACTTTGAAACACGTCGGTTATTAATACAGCCTTAATACCACCTATACTGGAATAGAAGGCACATACGGAGCCAATAATAACAATACTGACAGTCTTGGAGATTCCTGTAGTCGCCTCCAAGGCTAAAGAAGGAGCATAAAGCACCAATCCTGAATACAAAATCTGTTGAATCCAATAAGCGAAACTAGCCATCATCTTAACTCGTACTCCAAAACGCTTCCCTAAGTACTAAAAGAAGTAATACTCCTTGATACACATGCCATTGAAAACTTCTCGCGGCAAAATTAAATGTTACTAAATTCACCTCATAAATGCTCGTCGCTTGCAGCTTGAAGAATACTGGTATAAATCCATAGCATAAAATCGGAATGCTTAAAAAATATCCTAGGTTTATTCCAACAATTTGAGTTCCGTATGTGTAATTCTCAGCGGATACACCGAGAATTGCAAGAGCAGATAAGTGGGAGGCCATCATGGCAATGGCGACTGGTAGTATGTTCATTGATCGATTTGCAATGAAGTACTCCTGTAAAACGTGTTAGCCTTCATTGCAGCAAAATTTAAAGAAAAAAGTAATCCAGTTTAAACGGATTTTCTATAACAAGGATTTACTATAATAAGATCGAGGATAATAATAATTACCTCCATAGTTTTTTGACGTCCTCCACTAAATCTGTAATAAATACCAATTCCGGCACATATACACAGCATTATCGCTATAACTAAATAGTCGAACCATCCTAGGGTATTTATTTCCGCCATTTCGTCTAAAATATATCAAATTTAAAAAATTATATTTCCTAGAAGAAAGACTTATACTTTAAATACAGAAATAAGAATATTTACTAATTTAAAATCTCGTTCTAAAATCTATTTGTGTAAGATTGGCGTAAAGTGGACAATATATTTTCTTTTATTTAAGTATTGTAAAACAAATGATAGCGCATACATGTAAAAAATTAATAATATAAATTTAATTAGTTAACTTAGTAATTAAATGACCAAGATTAACTCGGACATCATCACCACGCGTTTTTTCTTCTTTTTATATTATTAGTTTTATACATGTATGCGCTATCATTATGTAATTTTGTTAATTTTTATCTTTTGTGCTGAAGAGGATCTTGATCGTAGGTCGAAACGTATACGTTTAATATTCACTTTGAATAAATGATATTATATATTACACACTAATAACTAGTGTCGGCTCAAATTGGCATTTTATTTATTATTTTTTAGAATTTTCTTTAGAGCCTATTAATTTTATTGATAAAAATTTAGTTCGCACATCTTTTTTTTTTATTTCAACATTGCACGATTTCTTTGACAAAATTCATATATACGAGTATATATATATATATATATATATTGGGATTGAAGTATTTAGAGACTGAATAATGACCTATTTTATATTTAAGACTGCATATTTGAAATATTTTTATTTATTTAAAACACATTATTTGCAATACAAGTGTATTTTTTGTGTTTTACACTTCAGTGGAGCATACGAAAGTATTAGGTAGGATAGAGCGGAGCTAGTTGCGCATAGGGACAAGTTGAGCAAATGTAAATATCTGAATAATCAAAATATATATATAAAGATACGTCTATGCTTGCATAAGGTAATAACCCAAAGATAGAGATACTGCGCTTAATACAATATGTCCAGCTATCAACAGCCAAACACACGCGCTTCTTCGTTTTCGTACATCAAAAGTAAAATTATTAGATGAGTATTTTTTTCGGTCTATGTGATATAAGGCGATTAATAACAATCAAATGTGTTTTTTTAGATTAATGTTATTAACGTATTTTTTAACTTTAACGTTCAAGTTGATATTTTATTTACTCTTTTTTAGTGATAAAAAAATATTTTAGTCAACACCGATATGGGCCAATATCTCTAATTAATCTTATAAACTCAGCTGCTTAAATGAAATCTGTCTCTATCAACGATTTTTATTATATGTTAACGATTAAACATATGGAAACGACACCATTTATATTAAAACTTAAAATACGAAGCGCCTACCGGTCTGAATGTTAAGATGTTGAACTACAATATATTATGTATTCATTTTAAAATGAATTAATTTTTCAGAAATAATAATTATTTAAGATGTTGAACTACTGAATATATTATATATTCATTTTAAAATGAATTAATTTTTCAGAAATAATAATTGCGTGCTGATAAGATTATCGGACATTCACACAATCAATCTTTAATCAATTAATATAAACAGTCTCGTTTCTAATCATATTGTTTATATACGCTTGCCTGTACATGCGTAACTCTCTATACATATCAGTTATTGCGAAGAATGTTGCTAAGATCTCGGTAGTCTAAAGGCTTAGAACGCTCGCACAGAATGCAAGAGATCCGGGTTCGACTTCCTGCCAAGGCAATATTTTCGCAATAAATTTATTACAGTTTTTTAAGATTTGGGAAATTTTTTTGGGGTTTATTTGTTTCGGATTGATTGTGTGAATGTCCGATAATCTTATCAGCACGCAATTATTTCTGAAAAATTAATTCATTTTAAAATGAATATATTATATAATATATTCAGTAGTTCAACATCTTAACACTCAGACCGGTAGGCGCTTCGAATTTTAAGTTTTGATTAAACATATATTTTATGTTTAATTATTATTATAAAAAGTAAAAATTTTAATTTTTCTAATTTTGTTAATTAAAGCATTTAAAGAAAAAAGAATATTACAAATTATGCTTAACTCTCAGTACCCACATTTCCAAAATTCCCTATCTACTCACATCCGGGTATTTGTAACTCAGTATTTTCTTTTGCTTGTATCTCAGATGTAGTGCATTGATTTTAATTAATTTGTTTTTCTATCGTTTGAAGACTGAAAAAAAAGAATTTCTGAGTTAGAAAGTCTAAAATGTCGTAACACAAAAGATATTTTGCAATAAGTGAAAAAAGATTAGAAAAAAACGTGAAAAAAACGAATTTTTTTCAAAATCTCATCTTTTTGTCAAAAATAAATGAAAAAAGATTTTATTAGTGATGAATCAGCTAATGAGTTGAACTTTAAGAAACTAAAAGCGTTTTTGCAATTTGTTATAAAAATGATCTTTTTTTTGCGAAGTGAAAATAAGTGATTCTTACTATACTTTTTTACTCTACTTCTTCGTCTACTATTTCATTTTTACTTTATTTCTTTCGCCTCTCGAGATCTTGTTCCTAATATGATTTCTGATAAAAAATACAAAAACGTGAATAATTAAAAAAATATTTATGATTTTCCATTAAAGAGAAAACTCACCACTTTATCTAAAATGCTCTATTTGGCACGAAGCGCACGAAGTCAATCTTTTTCTGATATAATATTAAGAATATACAATAAAATTGACTTAAATTATTTTTTTAATGATGTACACTCATGATTAAAATCATAAATAATGCAATTAATCATTTCTATTTACATTTCAACTTTGCAGTAAGTTCGGATTTTCTGATGTCGTATCCACAGAGTTAGGATAACCCTGACACACACTTTACACCGTACAACTACGTAGCTAATGGCGCGTTAGAAGGTCGTCAAGTAAGGAAATTGTAGAAGTAGCACATACATTTTTTCCCCTCCAGCCTCAGCACTACTGCTCAAAGCGTGTTCGAATGTTGAACTACGAAAATCGGGGTCGGTGGGGGGGGGG